CCGTGTGTATGAGATCCAACAGACCTTCACCTCTTTCACAAGACCCTGTGAATGGTGATTTTGTCATCTTTCCCAAAAGACAAGATTCACACATATCATCTGACTTTAGGTCAAATGATTCCAACACTCCATCCTTTTGGAGTTGGGCTATGCGTTTCTTGTTAATGTGTCCAAGACGACAATGCCACAAGCATGCCTTGTCTACACTATTAGACAAGTCAATATTAAGTACACTATTTCCTAGGCTATCAACACAAGTCACTGTTTCATACACACCATTACAAGGCAAAGCTTCAAACATAAAAACACCATTCTTATAAACAGAAATTGAACCATTCAAATCATTAAAAGAATATGTAAAACCTTGTCTGAACAATGCATGAAATGAAATAATGTTTCTCTCGTCATCTCAGACGAATAGCAACAATTTATTAATCTAATCTAACATCATTACTAAGCAAAGCTGATAAACTCCGATCTTGGTTACTGGTGAAGACTTTCTGTTTCCCATGATCAGGTTTATCCTTCCTCGCTCTATCTCCTCACTTTCCTTTAGACCCTGCAAATCAGAACAGATATGAAAACCACATCCTGTATCAAGGACCCATGAACGAGAAGATAATGAGTTATTAGCAGAAATAGTGTAAATACCTGCCGAAGATGGCTTCACTTTGCCATCCTTGATATCTTGCAGATATTGTGGGCAGATCTCTTCCAATGCCCTTTTTGGTTGCAGTAAAAGCAAACTGCCTCTTTTGGATCAGAAACATGGGGAGTGGAACCATTGGGCTTAGCCTTTGGGCCATTACTAGATGACCCAGCTTGAGCCTTGCTCTTCCAGTTTGTTTGGGAGGACCTTTCCTCTTTTTCCCCTTCCCTGTCCAATAGCCAAAACAGGGGCACTCGTAGGTGTGGAGGGTATACTTTTACCCTTCATCCCTGCCTCAGCTGTCTGCAACAAGTTGTGCAATTGGGCCAAGGTCTGCTCAGTATTGTTCAAATGGTAAGTTAGAATAAACTGACCATAACATTCAGGAAGTGAGTTCAAGACCATGTCAATGGCCAATTCCTCATCAAAGTGAATATTGAGCTTGACCAAACGCTCTATAGTAGCGTTGCATTCTTTGCACATGTGACAAACCGACTCCCCATCTTTCATCTTGCAAGCCATGAGTGACTTGACTACTTCGAACTTTTCTTGACGAGCTCGCTTATGGTACTTTTCCATAAGGTCCTTGTTCATCTCGAAAGGCCAGTAGTCCTCATAGTACCTCTGCAGTTCTGGGGACATAGTTGCCACCATGATGCATGCCACTTTGGTAGCATCATCGTAATGTTTCTTGTAGGCAGCAAGATCTTCAGGAGTAGCTTCATTCTCATCAAGCTCTTTGAGCTCCTTTTCAAGAACATATTCTTTTTCTCGAAACGAAGAGCCATCTTGATGTTGCGCATCCAATCGTTATAGTTTGAGCCATCCATAACGACTTTGGAGCAGATATTGAGCAAAGAGAAGTTTGGTTGGAGGAGGACGAAGCAGAAGTGTTTCCAGGAGTAGACATCTGAAAAGAAAGAAAGTTTTAGTTAGATTTCAAGATACCTTAATAGAATAACCCAAAGATATATATCAAGGTTAGGATCCAACTATGAAGATTCACAACTCAGAAATGGGATGCCGAGATCCAAGTGCAATTTCATAAAGGTAGGTGAATGACGATTCACCAATTCCACCATTAGACGAAACAAACGAAGTGAAATTCCTAATTCTTTTGAGATACATTGAAACTATTCAATGGCATGTTTTAATCTCAGATTATGCTCTTCTATTTGTGACTGGGATGCCGAGGATCACAAACAAGATGTGAATAACCATGCAAATGTGCTTGGTAACCTCATTGTCTTTATCATTAACTATTGATGTGCTGGTAAACCACACACGCTCCATCAAAATGACAATTATGAGATACCCATTACTACTCTTTATTGGTGCCTTTTAGTGTGCTGGTTAACCACACACGCTCCACTAACGACCAATAAAGCATAATGTGCAATTTCATGGATTAGCATACTTTTCACATTTTTCCTAAGTAACTAGAGTTGGGATTTGAAACAATGTTCTAGTACTTTCTTTAATATCATTATACTTTTAATGAGAAGTAGTTGTCCTATCAAATCCGTTCTGCTAACGACCCTCCACTAATCAAGGAAGCGGTGGGTGAGAGTGGACACCCATTCAACTACCATTTTATAGGCAGTTTCCTTATACCCCCCTTATAGATTAGCTTCGTGAATGAGGCATACTAGCGATTTGACTGACCATATTCTTATACATATATATTAAACTTTAATTATAATATATATATAAGGTGTGTTTTAAAACCTTTTTAAAACTTCAAGGGTTTATAAATTTCGAAATTTAAGCTATTAAATTTAAATTTAAATAAACCAATTAACTAGATTTAATATTTATCTTTTTTTTTAACTATTAATCAAATTATTAAATCTTGTAAGGATTATCTAATTAAATTAATCCATTAATTTAATCCTAATCCTTATCCCTCTAAATTTCGAAAATAGGGTAAGGATAATTATCCAATTAATCTAATTAAGTAACAATTATCCAAAACAAAGAAACCCTAGTTATCCTCTAGCATATTTCGAAATTTACAAGGGAGGAGGCTAGGGTTTTCAAAACCCTAACCCTAATTTCGATTAGGGTTCTTTGGAGGCTAGGGTTTTCGAAAAAACCCTTTGATCCAAAACCCTAGAAATCGAAAATTTGGCCTTTAGGGTTTAATAGCTATAAACCCTAATTTGCAATTCAACAATTGTAGCAATTCAATTTAGACAACAATGGCTCTGATACCACTGTTGGGTTTAGGTACAACAAATAAACTAGAAAACAATTCCTAAGTTCACATGCAACCTACTTTGGATCTATGTTTTAACTATTGAACATACAACTTTGAATTGCAAAACAAGAACCCTAGAGGAGAGAGGCTATTTCGAAAATAGTAAACTAGGGTTTAGGGTTTACATACCTTTCAATTGTTATAGCAAACAATTGACAATCCCTTGATCTTGATCTTGATCTTCTTGGAAGCTTTAGCACCACAAGTGTAATGCCTCTAATGGAATCACACCCATGACTAGCAAGAAGGAAAGTAGAAGAAGAGAGAGGAGAGGGAGTATGCAAAATCTCGGCCTTAGGGTTTCTTCAAAAGAAAAATTGACCAAAAACATGAACCAGGAGGCTCCTTATATAGCTGAGGGATCTAGGGTTTAAGGGAAACCCTAGTTATCCTTTGCTTAGGGCCTAAGCAAACCCAAGGGCCTTATCCAAGCCCCTATGGACGAAATTATTAGGGTTTCCCCTAAAGATTTCGTCCACCCTCTTCCAAGGGGGTTCTAGAGCCTTCCACTCAACTATTAGATAATTGCAAACTAGTCCCTGCACCTTATAATTAATTCTTTTAACCCCAAAATCAATTCTGATTAATTTCTGGCTAACAATTATTAAACATAATGATTTCTAATTAATATATTAATCCAATAACATATTAATAAATCATTTATATATATATTAATTTATTAATATCTCTCCTTTCATAATTTCCTTGTCCAGTTGCTAGGTTGAGGGCAACCCAAAAGGACTGTGCTGCTATCAATTCAAGTACATACCAATTATAGTTATTGGCTTAGACACCTAATCCAACAGCTCTCACATGAAATAGGGTTTGCTGGACTCTCTAGAAGCTGCAAAGGGACTAAGGGAGGCTAATGATCCCTTAAATAGGGTGCCAACCCCCGGAAATTAGGGTTTCACCCTCCATCTCCAACTAGTCGAGTCACTCTTCCGAATCGACGAGTTTGTCACTTAAACACGTGGCCTAAACCTGGTGCTACTTGACGAGTCAGGCAACCAACTCGTCGAGTAGATCTTGAATTCATGAGAATTTATAACCATAAATTGGTATTCGAGAATCGGGGCGTTACAATTACTTATGTTATCATTTGTTTATTTTTTTTCTCGTTCCATCAAATGTTTATTGTGTTGCAGGTTGTGTTGACATGTTGTGAAGGTTTCTTGGTGTGGTTGGATCGTGTGATTTCTTATTTCAAAATATTGACTGATTGACTGTTTCATATGTTCTTCCTCTATCTAAGCTAATTTCTTATTTCAGGATAGTTTAGTGGCTTCTACATTTCAGTCAATGTTCTTTTATTGGTCTTGTAGGTTACTAACATTAGTCCAAAACCAAATGTATTGGCTTTCTTTTTTCGCCTTGTATGCAAATATTTACATTACTGTTTTTTCCAAACTCTCATTTGTTGGCTAGATTTGCATTTAGGCCAATTGCAAATTATTGCATTTAGGTCCATTGCAAAATAAAATGTTTGCTTTCTATTATTGTCCTTTTGTTTTTTCATTATCTATTATGATAAAGCATGTTCCTTATATTTTGTGTAAAAGATAAAGCATGTTGTCTATATGAAGTAGTCATTTGTTTCTTTTTTTCTATTCACGCAGTGTTGCAAATATCGGCCTAGGCAGCCGATTAATCGGCGCCTAGGCGCTTGGCGGTCCTCTACCGTTGGCGTTTATAGCTAATTGGACTATATAATCGGACGTGGTCAAAGTCGGTCAAAGACGGGTCTAGGCGGGTTTAGATGGGTCTAGGCACCTATATCGGTCAACGAAAGTCAATGTAATTTAAAAAAAAATTAAGGGCAAAATTGTCAAAATGTAATAAATGCTTCTAGGGTTGCTTCCGATTTCTCATTCGATGCAGTAAAAAAAATCGAGATTCTCTCTGCCTCTCTGGACACAACCCACGAACGAGAACGAACAAGGGGAAATCGGCGCATCTGCTTCTTCCGTCGAATTTAGTTCCAACCTCTCACGTCGTCGACTTTAGCTCCCGCCTCCGGTTCGTCATCTCCTTCAAGAAACGACGTCGCAGTCCCCTTCCAAGCTTCAGTTCACGACTTCACACCTTCTTAGTCGCAGTTCCAACAACTCTATTCTGATATATCTTTCGAGCTGATTTTGAGTCATCATTATCTTTCGAGCTAACATGTGATGTTGGTTGGAATGAAAACGAAGACTGGAACACCCTCTAAAATCGTCTGTTCTTTCTAAAATCATTTGTTCTTTCTACACCATCAGGTAAGCAATGATTTTTTAAAATTGTTTTTTTCTTCATCTTTCTAAAATCGTTTGTTGTTTCTTCATCTTTTTTAATTGTTGGTTGGATTTCTGTCTTGGTTGTAACAGGTAAGGCAGAAGGGCATTTGATTCGGGTAATTTCTTGACCAAAATCTCTAATTGTTTTGTGTATGAAACCATATGCCCACCAAGTGTTCGATCAATCGCCTGAGTGAAGGGTATTTGAATTCGGGTAATTTCTTGAATAAAATTCTGGTCCCTTGATCATCTGTGAAGTTATTAAGAACCATGGATTGAAGATGTAGGTGGTTTTGTTCTAGTTCTCGGTTGTTTATGGTGCGACAGTGGTTGAGTGTGATGGTGCAGAACAGATGCAAACAGGAAGGTGGTCAATGGACGTGTTTGGTGGTTGAAGCAAAAACGAATGGAGCAGTTGGTGGTATTTGGTTGTATGTGTATGTAGCAAAAACATAGATTGGATTGCAAGTTAGTTCTTCATCCCTTAATTCTTGGTTTTATGTGTGTATGTGTATGCAGCAAGAACACAGATTGGTTTTGCATATGTCTGAAATTAAATATCTTTTTCCATTTTTCCAGCTCTATTGATCTCTCAAGCACCACACCAGATGTTTTAAGCAGTGAGTTATGTAAAAGGCTTAAAGGATTTCTTGCAGCATGGCCTCCTTCAAGTCCCCAACCTCATGTCAATGAACTTCTTATAGGAAAATGAGTTTTTTTAATCATAGTTTCATGTTATAATGTTATATTTATTAAAATGTTAATATATATTTGTCATTTATAATGTTATATTTAATGTTATATTCTTAGGTTTAATGTTATATTTATTATTTTTTAATATTTTTATTAATAATTAATAGTTCTCGATTTCTGCAACCCGATTAGCTTACGTCCACCGATTAGCTTACGTCGAGCGATTTCTGCAACCTTGATTCACGCTGATGCATTAATTAGAGGACTAATTGGGATGGTGTATAAGAATGTGATTCCATTGGTAATGTTGCATTTGTACATGTTATGACTTGACAATTGGAGATGATGACTTCTTGTAATGATTTATCAAAATGTTGCTATCAACATATTTTCTATATGTGAATGTGAATGTATATGTGAATGTTATATTTTATTTATTAATTAAAGTTGTTTATTAGACTAATGTACATGATGTTAATTGTTCAATATTTGACATATAAATGATTTTAAGTTGTTTAACAATAGTCATGACAAACGAAAAAAGTGTGATTAAATGTCAACACTAATAACAGTTTAATCTACTATGTGTCAGTAAAAGTCGATAATAGTTATGACAAACAAAAAAAACGTGTGACTAAAAGTAGTTTATGGTCACAGATTAAATATTGCGTCTCAGTAAAAGTCAAATAGTAGTCATGACAAACGAAAAAAACATGTGACTAATAGTAGTTTATGGTCATAGTGTAATATATTATGTGTCACTAAATGTCAATAATAGTCATGACAAACGAACAAAACGTGTGCCTAAAAGTAGTTTACGATCATGGTTTAGTATATTACGTGTCACTAAAAGTTAACAATAGTCATGACAAATGAAAAATCATGTAACTAATACTAGTTTATGGTTGTGTTTTAATATATTACATGTCACTGAAAGTCAGCAATAGTCATGAAAACCAAACAACTTGTGAGGAAATATAGCTTATAGTGACGATTGTTAAAAAATGATTATAAAAACTACAAAAATTGATAACCTATGGTGACGGTTTTTACCAATAGTAACGGTTTTTATGGTTATAGTCACCACAATTAAACGTCATCATAACTTACCGTTAATTATGAGACCTTTCGTTACACATTTAATGAAAAAAGAACCCGTCATAAAATGTCTATAGCAACATGTTTTTTGCATGTCACTTTTGTACTAGTGAATGGGTATGTATACCTTGATGTTTGCTATTCCGTAGGTTTTTTTTTTTTTTTTTTTTTTTTTTTTTTTTTTTTTTTTTTTTTTTTTTTTGATAATGCTTGAAGCCATATCTGAAGAAATATAAGGTAAGAGAAGATCAAAAGAGGAACCTAGAAAATGGAAGGTGAACCGAGAAAAGGAAAGAATTTTGGGATATAATCATAGGATTTCCTACATACCATATGAAAACTTGTTTTCCCATATATGATATCTTCTCACTTTACACAATATATAGAGTTACAATTCGAGTGCTATACAAAAGGTCAAAGAATTTACAAAATACATACAAACATATGTAATGTTATCTAACATCTCCAATTTTAGATAAAAGAACCTATATGGGTTTTAACTCGATGCCATCCAAAATAAGCCCTTTAAGCAACTTTTTTTCAGAATAGGTCAACAAAAGATCCTTTGAAATGCTTTCAGTCGTAGCACCCGTTTGAAATTCCCATATTTGTACTTCCATCCAGCCATGGTTCCTTTGTTGTGGAAGGCCTTTCCTTCTAGATCTATTCAATGGGTTGTGTGTGTTTTGATTAACCTTTCGTCTAATATTTGGGGTCTGAGGAGTAAGTAAAAATATATACCACGGACGAGTTCCATGTACAGAGTTGACAACATCGCTTACTTTCAGTGGACGCTCGAATCCAGAATGGTTTTCTTGTAGTTTGTAAACAAGGTAGCATCCATATGTTGTTTGAGGTGACAGAATTTTGGATTTGCAGCTCATCCAAAATTTGCTAACATGAGAATCAAAAGCCACTTCTCCAAATCTGCAAAAAGACAATGTCTTAAAGAAATACTAGATTAATAGAAAAACATATTTGACCAGAATTTACAATATAAGATTCTGGATCTGTATATGTTATGCATTTATTTTTTACCATGAGTGCTGAGATTTATTTATTTATTTTTTTGAACGGCAAGTGCTGAAATTTTCTAAAAAATAGAGAAAACACCATGGAACTAGCTAGAATTCTAACTAATGTTTCTAACCTTAAAATTAATTGTATTTTACAAACATAAGTGTAAATTTGTGGATCCCCAACTACATTAAAGGCCCTTGTTTTTAAAACAATCAGATAGAAACTCAACCTTGAATCATCAGATGAAAACTTCCATCTCCACTCATATTCTTGCAAAACCATGCTTGCTGGTAGCATATGGCATTTCTTTCCATTTTTCGCTAGAGAAAACCACTGTCAGTCAATAGATATGTAAGTATTTGTTCATAGGCTCCAAAATAGTTACATATGTGAAATAAGTGAACCAACTACGTGGAAGATTTTCTTAAAAATGATAGGGCTGAATTGGTTAAAAAAATTATACCTCTTCACCATTGTTGATTAGGAACCCTTCGCAAAGAATGGAGTAGAGTTCCTTCTTTGTTGCTTCCTGCACATTATATTTCGACCATTTGATGATATCTACATAATCACTTGGTAATTTTTGTTCCCAATATGTTTCTGGCATATCCACTTCCTCATCCTCTAACACTTGATGCTCCACCTATAAAACTTACATTTTAGACTTTTGATCTACTATGGAACGAAATTCCCACCCTCCAAATTCGTTCTATTTACCATAGAAGACAATATAAAAAAAAAAAGTTGATCCAATGAATATGCAATTATTTTTCAGCTTACTCTCTCAAGGGGCCGAAACTCAATGGCGTCTACTACGATTGCATTTTTGCACTGAAATGTAATTTCAAGATCAAGTTGTCTTCTGTGGCTAGTAAACTGAAACAGTTCAGAAATCAACCATCCATCTTCTCCCTCGTCTACTAAGTATGATGTAAAGGATTTTTTCTCCCCATCCAATTTGTAGTGAATGCCTAAATTGTCCAATGTTGTGTCGTAAAAATCGAACACAAGGTTTATTGCGTATGTGATATGTGGTGACAAAAATTGTGCTCTCACATGGATTTTGGATTCATCACAAAAATAGGCACCATAACGGTAGTCCACTGCAAATCTGCACTCAGATGCAGCAACAAAAATTAAATGCATTACTACATACCACAATCTAAAATTATGTAGAAAAAAAACACTAGAAGCAACCTTGATTTCTTTCCATAGACGGATGATAGATACTCAATAGGTTTTAAACAACCTTGTGAGGATATCATTTCACAGTGTTCTCCATCAGCATTTAACAAAAACCACTGTCCATAAAAAAGCGCAAGTTAGATGGGGTGATGTAAATCTAATTAAAATGTGCGGACTTTTATGAAAGTGGGTATTTTGGAGAGCCATGCATGTTTTACTTTGGTTTTTCAAGTTATCGTGCTCATATTGTGTCAATATATCTAAAAGTAAAGGGAAATCTGACATGTGTAGGTTTGTAAATAGAGATCCATGATGGGTGGACTTATAATCGTTTTGCAATGGTTGCCATAAATATCTTTTCGATGAGCATTGCATGCATTTTAGTTAAAATATTTACTTTGCAAGCATTATTTGATTTTAATCTTGTGAAACGTAAAATAATTGAATAAACCTATAATATTATTCTAATTTCATAAATCACAATCTACCCTTCATCAATAAAAAAAAAAAAAATTTCTAAAACAGCAGTTTAATAGGCATAAAAAATTACCGTTTTGCCACCGTTCAAAAAGACTCCTTTGGAAAGAAGCATCTTAAGTTCCTCTTCAGATTTGTATACCAGACAAGGTGTCGCAGTCTTACTTATCTCTTCATAGTCTATTGGTGGCTCCCCCTCGTCATAAATCTCTTGTAACCTAAGCGCAATATCAAGTTCTTCCACAACCTCAGACATCATAGGCCGGTTTTCACGGGATTCCTCCAAGCATCGGTAGGCAATGTCTAAAAATGTTTTCTTGGAACTCGGATCTATGTCATATTTCAATTCATGAAATATAATATCATCTGATTTCTCCTCTTTACAGCTAAGTTTCCATTTTGGCACTAAATTCTCAAAACGACCACTACTATAATCTCCACATAGTCTCCCACAAAACACTTCGAATAAGACCACCCCAAAAGAGTAGACATCCGACTCTTTTGTCAACGTGGCTGTATTCTCAAATGTTGGATCTATGTAACCATCGGTACCTACAGCATTGGTGGGAGCAAAACTGTGCGATTGATTAGCAGGTCCTAATTTCGATAGTCCCAGGTCACCAATTTTAGCATGCCAGCTCTCATGGTGAGACGTGGATAACTCTTCAAACAGTAGAATGTTCGAACTTTTTATGTCCCTGTGGATAACTCTTTGTTGTGTTCCATTGGGATCATGAAGGTAGCACAGTCCCTTTGCGGCTGTGAGGCATATGTAGAAACGTTGCCTCCAACTAAGAGTAGAGCTACTCAAATGCTTATATAGGCTTCCATGAGATGCAAGTTCGTACACAAGGATCCTCTCACCCTCTTCGCTGCAAAATCCCAACAGAGAGATGAGATTCTTATGTTTGTAACGGGAAAGCAGCAGGATCTCTTTCCAGAACTCGGCGTCTCCTTGCCCATGTGTACGATCTGGATCTAGACGCTTACAGGCAACCTGGCTTCGTCCCTCGGAGTAAGAGAGTACTGCTTTGTATACCTTCCCGAATCCACCTTCTCCAATTACCTTCCACACATGAAAATTGGCAGTGGCTGACCTTATATCATTCAGATCGATTTTAAGATGTTGAAACTCCTTCAGGGCGTCCATATTGTTTGTCTATCAAACAATAATCAGAAAGTTAAAAATCAATTGTTGGAAGCAACTGCAAGGGCAGTAATTTGAAAGGGGTGCTTATAGATTTATTTTATTTGTGGACAAGAAGCCCGTTAGGTGTCTGATGTGATCTCAAACGGTAATTGCTAATTACAAAATTCCTAAATAGGCATTAAGCCATGACCACATCTACATGTCGCTCCCATTTTTATTCTTTTTCATATATATCGTTAATTTAAATAATAGTCTCTGTTAACTGCACCCTCTTACTTTTTTTCTAATTTGGATATTATATTTTAAATAACAACCTTTATATTATTAGATTACACAAGTTTATAACCTATAGAAACCATGGGTAATTTTTTTAATACAATTTTTTATTAGTTATGTTTTTTTGTTTACGTAACATTATAATCATTGATTTAAATAAATATATAAGATTATTTTTGAAGCTATATTTTATTTGTGAATAATGACAAAAATAATATTGTATTATTAAATATTAGATTATTATATTATAATTATAAAAAATAAATAAAAGCGACAAGTGAAGTAAATTAAAATAGATATATGGAAAGTAGGAAAATTAAGTTGTTGAAACAAAAATATATGAAAAATATAACAAATTACAAAAAATGGTATGAGGTGACACTAGACCAATGTCATTCAAGTAGGTCATGGTTGAGGTAGACATGATGCTAAAGTAAATAGTGTAGAAAAGGGGTTAAGTAAAAAGTAAAAAGTCAAAGTTTTGTTTAATTTATCTAGTCTAATTTCCCGAACAATCAATAAAAACACATATAACAGTTTATATTTTTTTACTCGATACATACAAAAAAATGTGTAAAAGACAAATATGCCCCTACTCATGGAAAACCCTTAACAATACTTTTTTTTAAAAGTAACATACTATATGTAGTGATAGTTTTATGCATTTTCTAGCAGGATGCTATAAAATGAAGTTGGACCTAAATGCCCTCTTACCAGATTTTGCATATTTAAAATCATAGTTTCCCTCTTACGGGATTTTTCTGCCATAAAAGGACCTAAATGTCCTCTTACGGGATTTTTAAAATTTGGAATTGACTTTACTCTATGTTATCAAGTAATTTCAAGAAACACTTAATCAAACCACATATAACAATCTAATTTTTTTATTCGAAACTTACAAAAAAATATGTAAATGACAAATATGCCCCCTACTCTTGGAAAACTCTTAACCGTAACATTTTTTAAAAGTACCATGCTATATGTAGTGATAGTTTTATGCCTTTTCTAGCAGGATTCTATAAAATGAATTTGTTGGACCTAAATGCCCTCTTACTAGATTTTGCATATTCAGAATGATAGTTTCCTTCTTACGGGATTTTTTTGCAATAAAAGGACCTAAATGCCCTCTTATAGGATTTTGAAAATTTGGAATTGACTTTACAATTCTGTTATCAAGTAATTTGTAACGCCCCAAAATACGGGCCAAAAATTTCATTTTTAATTAAGTGATTTGCAAAACGTTTGTAACAAAATATCATTCGACCATATCATTTAATAAAACATGTCTCGTGTCTGTAAACCAAAACGTAAATCATAATAATATCAGAGTACAAATCCCAGAATGTCTCATAGTGCGGAAAAACAAAAGCGTGTGTGTGATATGCTGCTACCGCGCCAGCTCCTTCCCCTTGGCTGAAGAGGTACCTGAAACAACAACTAAAAATCGTAAGCACGAAGCTTAGTGAGTTCCCCCACTGTACCACATAGCATATAACCACATATCATACATATATTGTCAGGCATATCTGGGTGCCCGACCTACCCCTTCGGTCCTCTCGACCGGATATTAGCTAGCATATCTGGGTGCTGGCCTCCCATTCGGTCCTCTCGACCGGATACTAACTAGCATATCTGGGTGCTGGTCTCCCCTTCAGTCCTCTCGATTGGATGCTTGGGACTATTTCACCCCCTACTACTACCATACACTACTAGAAAACTAAGTAATTACCTACAGCATAATTGGTAGTAAATCCGTAGGAACAAGACGTTACCTACAGATTTCCTACAAAAAACGGGTTGTAGGAAAAACCCTCGTGGGTAATTTTTTCCTACAAATTAGCTACAAACGTTCCTACGCATTTCCTACGGAATATTCTGTTACAAATTTAACTACGTAATACCTACGGAACACGTTAACTACGGAGTACTTACAGATTACCTACGGGTTATTTAGCTACAGAACTCCTACAAAATACATACAGATTATTTTCCTACGGAATACCTACGAAATGATTTTCCTACAAAATACCTACCAACTACTTTACCTACAAAATACCTTCCAACTTTTTTTCCTACGGAATACCTACCAACCGCTTTTGCTACAGATTACCTACAGACTTTATTTCTTACGGAATACCTACCAACCGCTTTTGCTACAGATTACCTACACACTTTATTTTATTTTATTCCTACTGAATACCTACAGAATATTTATTTTCTACAAATTTTATATGATATTTTTACCGGTTTTTATTGATATATTAAATTTATAATACCTACAATTTAGTCAAAAATCTATTGCTATATTAAATTTATAATTTAAAAAATATCCAAATTTTCTGCCAAAAAAAAACCAAAAATATAATTAAAATAAAAGTCAAATACCATTACATTCATTAACATTAAAATAGTAATTAACATATCATTCATACATTCAAATACTTAAAATACCATTACAATACCATGACAAAAGCCAAGAACTAGTTAATAACATAACATTCGTTAAATGTTTTAAAACAAAAACTAAGAACTACTTGGTGGATTACCGGACGGATTGATTTGTTTCATAAAGGCCGCCAATTGTCGTTGCACTAGCAATTCCATTTCATTTCGCATTTGTTGCATTTGCAAATCCATTTGATTTTGCTTTTCATTATTGGCTTGTTGCATGTTTGACACTTGTTGTCGCAACTCATTTACCTAAAAATAGCAAGACAAACACATGCAGTTAGTAATTGTAATTCAACTTTAAACCATGATAGCAATATACTTTACTTTTAATTCAATATAAGAACACACTACTCATAATAACAATGTACATTGTTTTTAATATCCATAATAATAACTTTTAATATGCATAATAATAACAAATTATATTTTTATCCATTATATCATTGTACTTTACATTTCAAATCCATAATATCAATGTATTTAAACTATTATCAATAACAGTAATTTACTTTACCTAATATCAATAATAACAAAATACTATAATTTTCACCCATTATAGCATTATGTTTTACCTAATTTAATAATAGCAACATAGTATCATTTTTAACCATAAATGCAATGCACTTGACCTAATATTAATAATGGCAAAATATTATATGTGTTGTTTTCAAAAAAATATATATTAAAAAGTTGATGTCAAAATATTAAATCAACTAGCAAAATAATATAAAAACTTACTCCTAGAAATGTTTGTCGAAATTTTGAGACACCGTTGTAAAAATTTGGAGCTATGTCCCATTAGATTTCCTTTTACCCTTTGACGTCCTATTATTCATACGTTAAAAAAAGTAGCAGACTAGCAGCGGCATTGTGATTATTAAAAAAATACCATTAACCCTATATTTTTAATTATTTTTCATTTATTATAATAAACACCTAATACACAGTGTCTCTCTGTCTCTAATGCACGTAGCTGTTCATTTTATTTAGTATGAAACAATTTTTGCTGTCATATCTCTCCCTGTTTCCTCTGTTTTCGATCAAGCCTGGCTACAGTTACAAATGCTAATTTTTTAAAACAACATACACAATGACAAACTAACCGACCCAAATTATTTTTCATGCACCATTTTACTTGTGCTCGAAGTGTTTACTTTACTTATTTCATCATTTATTAATTCCATGATCTTTTAGTTTTAAGTATAACAAATTGTCAAATTGGACAGTGAGTTTGTAAAAAAGTTGAAAACAGTAACACAAAAGTTCTTTTAACTCCATTTGCATTTATCCTTT